GTGCCGAGCCCTGCCCTGCCGTTCTTTGCCGTTTCGAGCCGTTCCGAGCCGTTCCCTGCCGTTCCGAGCCCAACCCAAAGCCCAGCCCAACCCGCCGCCCCCGCCCCTTCCCCGGGGCCGCACCGCCCCGAGCGGCACCGGCGCCGCCTCCCGCCTGAACGCGGGGCCCGGGACGGACGGGAACGGGGATGGGAATTTGGGGGGACACGGGATAGCCCCGGGGAGGGGACCCGAGTTTTCCCCGGGGACCCGAGCGTTTGGGCCGGAGGGGACGCGGGAGTCGGGCATCATCTCTTTCCCCCCCTCCCCAACCCCGGTCCCGGGTGTTTCCCTCCGGGAATCACGACTCTGCCCCTGGAAGGGACCTGAGCATCCCCCGGGACACCGTCCCGAGGGAAAAGGAGGGAAAAGGAGCATTTCCTTGGACACAGGTGTCCCCTGAGAGTAGATTCACCCGAAGATAAGCAGAGTGAGGAGCTCAGCATCCTCCTGGGGGTGGGAGGGGGGGACCTGGGCATCTCCCGGGGAGGGGACTCACACCTTTTGACCTTTCAATACTTAAAGGGGGCTTCTAAAAAAGATGGAGAGGGACTTTTTACCGGGGCCTGTTGTGATAAGGCAAGAGGTAATTTCTCTAAACTGAAGGAGAGTGGATTCAGACTAGAATCAAGGAAGAAATTTTGGATGCTGAGGGTGGTGAGACCCCAGCCCGGGTCGCCCAGAGAGGTGGGAGATGCCCCATCCCTGGAAAGATTCTGGGTCGGGCTGGACTGGGCTCTGAGCAACCTGGTCTAGTGGAAGATGTCCCTGCTCGGAGCAGGGGAGTTGGATTAGGTGCTCTTTAAAGGTTTCTTCCCACCCAAACCATCTGTGATTCTATTCTGTGCCTCCCGTGGGGACCCAAGCACCCCCAGCACCCACCCCCAGTATCCCCAGTATCCCTGGCTGTGCCACCGGGATATTAACCCAGTACTTAGGAGTCAGGTTGAGGCAGGAGCAGAATTAGGGCCAAATCCTATTCCCTTCAAACCCTCCGCTGATGTCCTGGCAGCTGGATCAAAGGTGAGTTGGGCTCCTTGGTGTGATGACCAGCCACCACTCGGGACACGTCACGGAGCTGATGGACACGGGGGTCTCTCCGTAGGTGACCCGGGATGGGAATAGCAGCAGCAGCAGCACCATAAATTAGCAGCAAAGCATCTCCCAGCCGTTCCTTCTTCAGAAGTGCCATCTGGCGAGATTGTTTGCGGAGCAGTTATTTATTCCTCACTTTTAAGCGTCTATAGGCATTTTTGGGGCTGACCTGCGAGGCCAGCTCTGCCCCCGCAGTCTCTACAAGGGAAAGAACAGCCGCTTGTTCCCAGAACCTAAATAAAGAGCAGCTCTGCTGCGAATACCCCGACGCTCCTTCCTGAGATCTGTTTGCAGCTCAACAGATCGTGCTGGGTAATTACATGATGCGAGCGCGCCGTGCCGGCAGTGGGAATCCAACGTGCTGCTCTCCTCATGGAAAAAAACCAGCAGAGCAGGGGCTGGAAAACCCTGGGCTTGGGGCTGCTTCTCAATGCTCTTGCCCATGCCTTGTGAAATTAGGAGAGTGTTGCCACCCAGCAGCTCGCTTGTGTGGTGCCGAGACCCCACAAAGCCACCCGTGCCCCGTGTCACCACAGCTGAGGGCACGGGCAGCACCATGGCTGGGCAGGGATCACAGAAAAAAACCCCAAAAAGACCAAAAGGTCTTTTTTTCCCCCCAAAATTCACTCTGAATACAGATAACATGTGGGGCACAACTGGGTAGGGGCCAAGCGTGGGGCAGGGCTCATTGGGAGCCTTGTGTAATACAGAAATACAGTAAGACAGCGCCTGCCTCGCCGCAGAGGCTAAATAAAGCAGCAGGAAGGAGCTCTTGAATACCAGCGAGGCGATATATAAACAGGGACGGGGATGGCAGGGATGCTAATGCCATTCTACAGCCTGGGAGAAATGCCACCGTCCCACACGGACGTGGGATCGCTCCCGTGGCCAGAGGAAAGTCTCCAGGAAAAGCCAGGCTGGGCCATGAGCCGTCCCAGGCTCCAGCACTGGGAGAGCTCGGAAAGATGGACATCAGCCAGTGTCCGGTCTTGCCTCTCTCTCTTTTGTGGAGAGGAAAAGCCCAAAGAGGCCGGTGACATTTCTCTTTCACAATCCTGGAATTCATCTCGCTTGAAATCCCAAGAAGCGCGGAAACGCAGATGGAAAATGTAATAAATGGAACTCTATTTTTTTTTCTTTTTTCTTTTTTTTTCCTCTCTTTTTTTGGACAAGGTTTAACGAAGCTAATTGCACTGCTAGGCGTATCTCAAGAAAAAAAAAAAAAAAAAAAAAAAAAAAAAAAAAAAAAAAAAAAGGTGTTGTGGTTATGACTGCAAATACCATTCACATAAAATATACAGATTTTTCTCGCACTAGATATATTTATATGAAGAGGAGGGGAAATAGCAGCTGTTCCCCATGATCCTGCATTATCACCAGCCCAGTATCTTCCACCCCAGCATTTCAATAACAGCATTGTTACTGGTGGCACAAACGGGTGAGCTCCCTTATCTCACGCGTGCTTTCCCTACGATTTTGCTAACGGGAGAAGAAAAAAAAAAATAAAAATTTATAAACAAAGCAACAGAATAACAACTAAATCCATCCGGGTCTCCCCATCCCACTCCCTTTCCCAGGGGCTGATGCTTTTTACAGGGATCATTTCCAAATCCCCTGGGACTGTGCTGACCCGACACGTGCTCGCTGTCAGGGCTCAGCATCCCCCCCCGGGGGGTTTTTTGGATGTCCTGCTCCAGGAAAATTTACTCTGGGCCAGCAGCACGGGGACCTCAGCATCTCCCCGCGGTGCTCGGCTTTAGGGCGGGCAGCCAGGGAGCCTGGTGGGGTGCCTTTGGGGACAGGGGTGTCACTGCTCTTTGAGGCCACCTGGCAGAGCGTCAGGGCTCTGGGTGCAGCTGAGATTTGGAAATTCTTCCCTGGACCAGAGGGGAAAAGAGATCCCAGCTCCTGTGAACGGGCCGTGCTGGGCTTGAGGATGGTTTTTTGGCCCATAAGGGGAAGAAAATAAATAAAGAACCCCCAGGGCAGAGACACAGCAGCCGGCGCGTCGCCATCGACTCCAGCGAGGAGCTGGACCTCTCTCTGCTGCTTGCATTTCACGGGGGGTTTCCAAGGAAGCTCTTCCTCCCTCCCCATCCAGGCTGGGCCAGGCGTGTGTCCCCTGGCACGGGGACAACCGGGACGGAGGGACCAGAGCCATGAACTGGGAACGGGACGGGGGTTTCCTCTGGCGTTTTCTGGGCCCTTTAGGAGAACGTCGTCTGATTTTTGGCCAGAAATACCCACTTCACAGAGACGTAATCAAGCTTCCACTTTAATTTTGTTGGGTCCAACTCATAAACCAATTTTTGGGGTTGGGGCGGGTGCAAACAGGACACGGCGCGGTCGCGAAAAAAAAAAATAAAAATTTATAAACAAAGCAACAGAATAACAACTAAATCCATCCGGGTCTCCCCATCCCACTCCCTTTCCCAGGGGCTGATGCTTTTTACAGGGATCATTTCCAAATCCCCTGGGACTGTGCTGACCCGACACGTGCTCGCTGTCAGGGCTCAGCATCCCCCCCCGGGGGGTTTTTTGGATGTCCTGCTCCAGGAAAATTTACTCTGGGCCAGCAGCACGGGGACCTCAGCATCTCCCCGCGGTGCTCGGCTTTAGGGCGGGCAGCCAGGGAGCCTGGTGGGGTGCCTTTGGGGACAGGGGTGTCACTGCTCTTTGAGGCCACCTGGCAGAGCGTCAGGGCTCTGGGTGCAGCTGAGATTTGGAAATTCTTCCCTGGACCAGAGGGGAAAAGAGATCCCAGCTCCTGTGAACGGGCCGTGCTGGGCTTGAGGATGGTTTTTTGGCCCATAAGGGGAAGAAAATAAATAAAGAACCCCCAGGGCAGAGACACAGCAGCCGGCGCGTCGCCATCGACTCCAGCGAGGAGCTGGACCTCTCTCTGCTGCTTGCATTTCACGGGGGGTTTCCAAGGAAGCTCTTCCTCCCTCCCCATCCAGGCTGGGCCAGGCGTGTGTCCCCTGGCACGGGGACAACCGGGACGGAGGGACCAGAGCCATGAACTGGGAACGGGACGGGGGTTTCCTCTGGCGTTTTCTGGGCCCTTTAGGAGAACGTCGTCTGATTTTTGGCCAGAAATACCCACTTCACAGAGACGTAATCAAGCTTCCACTTTAATTTTGTTTAGGATTGAATGCCTGGGCACACCTCGGCACCCCTCCTCAGGTTTTTTTTTTCCCAGTACTGCCCCACTTTGCTGTCCCTGGGGCAGCCACCCCCCTGGCAGCCCTAACTCCATCCATCCCAGTCCATCCCAGTTCAACCGGATGGAGCCAAGCATCCCCAGCTGGCCCAAGGGACAGGGGGAGCTTCCCAGGGGGGTGGCCCGGGGACACCCCAGCTCAGTACTGGGGTGGTGGTCAGGAGTGGGGTGGCCCGTCGAGCGTGCCGGGGGTGGCCGTG